CGTGAATTGGATTAACGCTCCAATTCCATCTCACTCTCCATCTCTCAATTGTAAAAAAAAAAACAAAAAAAAAAACAACGACGCGGGCAGGTTGACAGACCTGGGACGCAAGCAGGCGAGCCTGGCGGGAGACTACATCCGCAAGTACATCTCCAAGAAGTTTGACCGCTACTACTGCTCCGAGTATATCAGGTACCGCAGACCCTCGACAGGGATCGCGTGCTTTACGCCCGTGTTGCTGGCACTGGCACTCACGCACAGCTCAACTCGTCTGGTCTGTTGGTGCACAGAGCGATGGAAACGGCTTCGCTCCTTGGTCTTGACGGAGCCCAGTGGTTCTGCGACTTTTATCTGCGCGAGCGGGACAAGGGCGTACGTCTCCCGTCGTACCTTCAACGTCGACACACACACACACACGCACACGCACACGCACACGCACACGCACACGCACACGCACACGCACACGCACACACACACGACCGCACTCACGCACACGCACTCGTCGCCTTTTTCTTTCTTTTCTCGTGTTGCTGTTGTTGTTCACACAATTCGCAGCTGCTCGGCGGAGTGTCCGATCTGCAGAGGAAAGAAGAGGAGCACTACCGCAGCGTGATGGCGCATCAAGAGCGAGGCATGCTCGCACTGCCCCTTATCTCATGCGCGTCGTGTGTATTGTTTGCGGCGCGTGCCGTGCCTCACACTCACCGGTGGATTCGCACAGACGCCTTCTACTGGGCGCCGCCGGGCGGCGAGTCCATTGCCAGCTCGTGCTTGCGTGTGGACCGCATGCTCGATATTCTACGGTAGGGTCACCAGGATGTTGCGGTGTGTGTGTCGTGTGTTGTGTGCCGTTTGTGTGTGTGTGTGTGTGTGTGTGTGGTGTTGTGTGTGGTGTTGTGTGTTGTGTCGTGTGTGTTGTGTGTGTCGTGTCACATGGGACCTCACCAAGTTTCTTCTGTAGGACGTCGTGCTCCGGCTTCAAGGTCGTAATGGTGTGCCACGGTAACATTATGAGGGCTTTCCGCGTGCGGATCGAACGGTACGTCCTAAACGACGCGGCAGCGCACCACACACACGACACACACAACACACAACACACGACGCACGACACTCGAGCATCCATTCTCATTTGCGGCGCGGGCAGGATGAGCCAGAGGAAGTTCAGAGAGAATGAGGAGAGCACGGACGACCGCGACAAGATCTGGAACTGCCAAATCATCCACTACACGAGACGCGACCCCGAGACCGGCATCGTGGCGCCCAACTTCTACTGGGTCCGCTCGATCTGCCCGTGGGACACCAGCCTCTCCTGGAACGTCTGGCAGCCCATCCACAGGTAGCCTTCACCACCGCACACATCGCCGCACACACCGCCGCACACACCGCCGCACACACCACCGCACACGCAGTGAGTGAACTAACACTGGGGTTGTGTGGCAGGCCGACGTACTCAAACGAAGATCTGGCGGCCGAGGTGGGACTCGTGCCGCAGCTGATCAACAACGACGACGTGGAGCTGTTGGGCCAGACGGCCACCGAGGAGATCGTGAAGAAGCGTGCGCTGCTCACAGAGTGGAAGGAGCGCGAGGAGGCCATCGCCAAGAGCGACGAGGCCGAGAAGGAGAAGGAGGACAAGCGGCGCGCCAGGGAGTCGTGGCTGCCCTCCAACAACCCCAGCTCCGCCACCAGCACCACCACCGCCGAAGGAGGTAAGGGCGCACACCACATCCAGCAACTCGAGCGCGTTGCCCTCTAAAATGCGCCGCTCAGCTGGCGTTGTGGGGGCGAGAGTAAATAACAATAAAATTTCAATTTATTTGTTTTTGTTCATTTCTATTTACTTGTTTATTTGTCTGTTTGTTTGTTTGTTCGTTCGTTCGTTCTGATGATGGTCAGGGAGGGGTGAGAATTCGGGAGCGGAAGTGCCCACCAGACCCACCTGCCCGCGCGACACCCCGCGAGATCGTCTCTTCCTCGGCTTCCTCTAGTCCAGATCACGTGAAGCAACAATCAACACAGAACCCCCTCCCGCCAGCGATGTCTTTCCCTTGTACGAGTGCGACCAGCAAAAACACAGGCAAACTTGGGTGCACATGGACACACGCCACATTGTTGTTCCCTGCACTCGACCGTCGCAACGGTTACCACCCGGTAGCAGTTCCCGTCATGCGGCTGCAAGAACAACTCATCGGCCAAGCAAAGAACGAAAACGAAGACTTCTGAAGACGACAGAGAACGAAAGCGAAGAAGGGGCAAGGGAGGAGTGGAGTGTGATGTTTGTACGCACGAGCGCACATGCTTGTTTACTTTTACTACAGTGTTTGTACAACAACACCACCAAAGACGCTCGCTTAGAAGCACTTGCGGTGGACAATAGAGGGTTTCTTTCCCGCCCGATGTTTCTCCTTTCAAAAGCACTTGCGATGAACAATGGAGGGGCCAGACTCGTCGTACTCCTCCTTGGAGATCCACATCTGCTGGAAGGTGGAGAGCGAGGCCAGGATGGAGCCACCGATCCACACGGAGTACTTGCGCTCGGGGGGAGCGATGATCTTGATCTTCATGGTCGACGGCGCGAGGGCGGTGAGCTCCTTCTGCATGCGGTCGGCAATGCCGGGGAACATGGTGGTACCGCCCGACAGGACGACGTTGCCGTAGAGGTCCTTCCTGATGTCGACGTCGCACTTCATGATCGAGTTGTAGGTGGTCTCGTGGATACCGGCCGACTCCATGCCGAGGAACGAGGGCTGGAACAGGGCCTCGGGGGCGCGGAAACGCTCGTTACCGATGGTGATGACCTGACCGTCGGGCAGCTCGTACGACTTCTCGAGGCCGACGACGAGGCGGCGGTGTC